CATAAAAAGACGAACCTTGTCAAACAGGAAATAATTTTATAGGGTGTCTACGTCACGTGTCTAACGTATGGGCAAATGGGTGTGTTTGTTTTCTTTAAAACATATTCTTAAATACGAGGATTGACTAGAAAATAAATGAAAACGCATACAGAGGTGGATGATACTTTCTTATCGATGTCATGTACAAACAAGAACTTCTAGAAGTGTTAATATACAGAGTGATATCAAGATAATCGGCCAAAGTGTAGTTTTAAATACAGAGGGAGTAGAATCTAATCCATATTTTTTATTTCTTGTATTAGTGGAAATGTAGCTTCTATTTCTTACAACTTAGTTTCAAACTTCAATTCTTATATTTTATATATTGTACAAACCAACGACGAAAACTTACTAGACTAATTCATTCATTCATAATTAAGCCCTTGTTTATTGCAGACGTTCAGATTGTGTTTTATATTAGGCAGACTGAGCTGTCGTATCGGTTGCTGCTTTAGAATGAGGGAGTCGGCGGCTAAATAAAGTGAGGATGGTTTGTACGAATTTGTTATGACTACGACGCTTGCTCTACCCTGCTGCCTGCTGTCACACTCAAAACAAATTGCGTACTTTCTTGAAAATCAATATCAACTATGATAGTTACAGCGAGAAAAATTCATAACTGGCATTAGGAATACAAATATACGTCCTTAATGTAATTGTGAAAGCATTTTTTGCATTTTAAAAACTGTTAAACACAACACAGTGTGTTGCGGATTTAAAAAAGGCGACGCTTCGTCCGCCATCATGTAATATAACTCTTATAACTGAAAAGTGACTTAAGGAACAAATTCCCTAGAGAAATACTGTAAATAATGTAAACAATATTTATTTTTTAAGTGCACCATGTAGTAAAAAATAAAATCATTCAATTAGTGTTTAAAATAAAGTACAATCAGAACGTTTAAATCCAAATACTACTCTTCCCAGGCCTATGGACATTTTCAAACATTATTTGATACAGTTCATCATTTTGCCAAGGTCCGAATGATAAAAACCTATATATCGGTCATACCGCTACATGGCATTTAACTTAATACGCTCAATATGCATTTGTTTTGTTCCTAATACGTTCGTAGTATTTATAATGCATATGCCTTTCTTTGTTTTTGGATCCTGGTAGGTACTTAAAAAGTCTGTAGTTCAAGCTTGATGTTGGCAAGAAATGGCACTTCAGTATCATCATTAATGTTATTAATTTTCAGTTGTATTTTCCTCTTGCGTTTCTTTCTTTTGTTACTTATTTGTTTCTTGTTATATCCATTTTTAACTTCGGTCTTTCTCTTCTTTTCTATTAATTAATAAAATCCTTTGTTTTCTTTCACTTGTTATTAAGTACTATAATTTTAAATACATGGTTCTACAATGATACTAGTTAATCGGTTACAATAAAAAAATAAGAGATAACTAAGTTTTATTTGAATAAATAACTGTTATCATTGTAATTTACTTAATTCAAAATGTTTGAGTACAAAACTAAATTAAGAGATAAACAATAAAGTGTTTCTATCTTACAGGTAAATGGTTTCTTAAATTATTTAAGTACCAAATGGTTTCTTAAATTATTTAAGTATCTATATACTTGTCAATACTAAAAACAAAAATCTACGTAAGTTGAATATTCAAAATATGTATTTATAGCATTAAAATTATTTGATAGTTTTTTATTTATAAAAAAAAAATGTTCTATTATGCTAGTTGTCATACGTCATACATGTTGGCTACCGAGAAAATGAGATTTTTATGGTTTTCTATTTGTTATTACTTACACTGTGTAAATGAAGCTTAAAATAATTTACAGTAAACCATTTCGATTTATTTTAATTTTCAATGTGTTTAGTTTGTTTTAAATGCTGTGATAAATAATCTGAGGACGTGAAGTAAAGCTGCGCAAAAACAAGACAGCATTCAGACGGTGCTTTTAAAGGTATCTCCACACTAAACCTGACTGTGCCATAACCGTACCGAAATATTCAAAAAAATGTTATGTATGGGTTGCAATACGGTGTTGCGCGGTCTTATATTATGTACTATCGTTTGCGACCTGCTCTATGTTTTCGTTATTGTCAGTCATGGTAGACGTTCAACCCTTACGTGAAATTTCTAGACATCGAGAGCGTCTAGAGTCTTCTAGACAAGTCTGGAACGTTACATCTTCCATATAAATAGCACAACTTTGTTATAGTGTCAGTTCAAGTTGAGAGATTGTTGTTAACAGATTAATATTGTCCATATAAATTAGTAAAAAGTATTTGAAATAAGTTAATGTTGTATTTTTTAAATTTTACTTTGTCGCGTCTGTTTTTGTCTGATAGATGTTGCAGATTGTTGCGGAGTTCAAATGCTACATCGTTGCTGTAGAATTACACTTTTTCTACAATGGAACCTTTCCTACATAAAGTACTTAGTATCTAATCATAGTTTAAACTGATATTCGAACAATCAGTATTTGAATAATCTACATACGCCCTCAAGTAGTAGATAAAAGCATACGACAAGAGCTTCAAAAATAATCGAAGTAATTCAATATATTATTTTAAGTATCATTTATACAGCCTTGGATATACTTGCACTTTTTAATGATAATCAAGAGTCAATTATACTCGTTAAAATGTTGGTAGTTATAGTTAATATTCTTAAAAATAACGTTTATTTGGTTCAGTAACTTTAATGTGGTTATCAGAACACTAGGGAATTGAAAATCATGAGTAACCTGCGTGGGAAGCTGTTGCAGAACTACAAAAAGCTCCTTGAATTAAAGCCCTTAATTAATGGGACTAAGCAAATTAAATCCTAGATTATTTATTGTTTCGGCCTTTACTTGATGAAAATTCATATTATCTTAAATGAGTAAAACCAAATTTGGTTTTACTCATTTAAGATAAATCCTAGATGTTCATGTATACGAATATACATTTATGAATATTATTGCTGGCTGATTAGTACTGTTAGAGGATGAGGATAGAAGGCAATTAAACATGGGGACATTACAGTTTATAAATCGTAAAAAAAATAAAAACAAGATGATAAAACACAGAGGGCAGTAAAATTAAAACATTGTAACCACACATAAGTCTAAAGTAGAGAAAATCAAACAAAGCTCGAGATGACACATAAAAACCAGCCCAACTGAAATGGAAGAAAACAGGAAAATAGATAAATCATGGAATAGGGATCGTGAAATAGTAAATAAGTAGTAGAAGAAGACCACAGAGTAGATGAAGTCAAACAATAAGTAAGCTGGTCCTTGGTGGATACAACTCTCTCCAGATAGAGAAAAGTGGAGGAGATATATCGTCGTTGATCGTGTAATACCTCTTATGTGGAGTTCATACCGATTTTTAGCTTTTACTTACATTTGGTTGACTTTTAGATGTTTTATGGATTAATAAACCTTCTATGTGCTTAACGAAATTTATCTGCAAATAAAACGCCATCAGACATCAAATTCGTCTTGAAATACCTCCTATGTGGTCATATTCAACATTGGATGCTTTTCAGTTTACTCGTTGTAGGATCCACATAGGAGGTTTTAGGTAAACAATAGCACACTCCACATGGGATGTTTCCATAACGGTTATTTTGACTTAGTAAATGGGAAGGATTATTTCGCTCCGCTAATAATATTTAGTAACCAATAAATAACAATAATTATTCTTGTTTTTCGAAGTGTTACAGTGACAAGTTGAGTGATAGGCTATTGTATATTACACAGTCTGGTAAGTAAAGAATTTAATCAAAATTATTTGTCTTAATTATACCTGTGAAATATTATGACCTAACCTAACTTTTCAATATCGAACATTAGCGCTAGTTTATAGCAAAATATTACTCAAATCGACTCCAAAATAGAAAATTAACGTAACATTTTACTTCAGTATGATTACATTAAGCCTTTTGGCCCTAGTGGTAGCATATGCCCACTGATCTATATTGTTTGGTGTATCAAGGCTCTACCACACTCATACTATTGGCTATAAAAAAGTTACCAAAGGTATTATTCAAGATATACCTAAAGAAAGTAGAAAAGTAGGGAACAGATGTGGTCATAACAATGATAAGAAAAAAAGTGAAAGAACGTTTCTTTGCAGTTTAATTTCAGAAAACAACAGAGCTGATCTTTTCAAGTATTTTTGGAGTTTGACATGGTCAGTAAAGAAAATGTTCAATAAGAAAAATAAGAAAGAAGACCGCGAGCAGTAAATACAAAAGTATCAACGGAAGAAACAGAGGATAATACTGAAGAAGAAAAAGAACAGCAGAAACTTCCCAAAAAAATTAAATCTTCCAAAAAAATGGAAAGTCATGATATTTTTATGCCGAGAGAAAATGGCGAAAAGGTTCGAGTCTGTCGTGTCTTTTCCCAAATACATTTTGAATTGGTGAAGATACACCTTCAAGAGATGGGTGAAAAGGGATATAAACAAATTGGATGCTGTTGAAGTAACAATTGGCCAGCCACCAAAAAAGAGAAAGCAAATTGAAGATAAACAATACATTAAAAGTTGGCTTGAATTGCTATCAAAGGTACCTAGCTACTACTGCAGAAAATCATCAGAAAAGGTTTATGTGGAATCAATTTTCTACTCAAAAGCGCAAATGCATAGAAAGTATGTGAAATGGTGTTTAGAAAGACAAATCAAACCCGCATCCATTACACTACTGAAAAATGTAATGAAGGACGAACATATTGCCATAGATAAACCACGAAAGGACCAATGTGACATCTGTTGTAGTCACAAACTTGGGTATATTCCTGATGAAGAGTACCAGCTTCACATTCAGAGAACGGATGATGTCAGAGCCGATAAAAATGCTACCAAAGCTAGTACAATAGCAAATAATGACCACTTAGCAATTACCATGGACCTGCTGTGTTCTTTTGTGCCCTAAAACATTACAATCTGCCATGTACTATAAAACTAAACTGCAAGTACACAATTTCACAATATACAACCTTAAAAATGGAGATGTCACCCTCCATATCTGGCATAAGGGAAACAGGTGTTACTTTCAACAAATTTTGTATAATGCAAAAAATGACTTTGATATCGGATGGATGTGGATATCAAAACCGAAACCGAGTTGTGAACAGTGTTTTAAGAGATTTTGCTGTTCAGCATAATGTCACCATAGAGCAGATTTACCTTACTAAGGGCCACACAATGATGGAAGTGGATAGTGTTCACGCTACCTTAGAACAACTTTTTTATCCTCCTATTAATTCATCCAGCGATTATATAGCTAAAATGAGATCAGCTAGACTTAAACAACCCAATGAGGTTAAGGTTATTCATTTTGATTTTTTCAAAAAATATGACGCATTAACAAGCAATCTCGTTTCTTTTAGACCTCGTAATGCTGTTGGAGATCCTGTAGCAGTTAATTTATGTAAAATCAAATACAGCCCAGAAGGAATTATATGGTACAAGACAGGGGAAGGTTAACACAAATTTATGACAAACCACTGCCTATATCAGAATCTAAATTTAAAGATCCTCAGAACTTAAAATCGGCTATTGAAAAAGAGCACCATGCTTTCTATGATAAGTTGTCATTTAAACCTGTCAAAAAGACCAACGATAAGCTATTTAGTGAAAATGCAGCCGAAAACCACGATAAAAACTCGAGGAAAAAACTGAAAATAAAAGTTCTAAAAAAACAACCCGGCAACAAGAAACCAACTGAAAAGTCACAAAAAAGATAAGAAGCTGTCCTCTGAAATTGCAGCTGAAAACCAAAAAGAAAAACTGGAAACAAAAAGAAAGGAGTGCCAAGTTCTAAGAAACAACCCGGCAAGAAAAAACAATAGAGAAATCGCGTGACAAAATGTCGCCCCACGTTGGGCGCCATTTTGTCACCCTTCATAAGGAGGTAGTCCTATTGATAGAAGGGGTGACAACTATATTAATTTTAGCTAGCTCATAAAATTGGTAAAGGGAGAGTTGGGTGGGTAATAATAGTATATTCTGTTGATAAGTTATCTCTTTTAGTATATTCGGTTGGTATGCACAGTTTTACCCTGGGGTTATAATCCCCTACAAATAGTTACTTAAGTTCGTCGTGGGTTAGGTATAATGGGTACAATATTTGCCTGATGTTCTCCCTTGTACTATAAGGTGCACAAGAATATAGTAAGTATAGATATATTTATGATTGAATTGTATCTGATATTTTAAATTTATCTTAGGTAGCAAGTTATGAGTGCTGAGTACCTACTACTTCCACTGTAGTATAAAATAGAAAGATAGTCCTTACTTGTAGACTGGATGGTATTTCGTCTTACTGATTCTAGTTGTCTCGCTTCCAAAACTGGATATATTACAGGACTCTGAAATGATGGTTGATAGCGCCTTGAGGGGCAAAGCCTCAGAAGGGGCTGTAGATGAATTCCTGGCCTGTAGTTCTCTAATACATAAACTGAATAACGGTAGGAAATCGAGAGCTCTAATTGGGTCGATATACATCCACAAAATTGATCGATCCTCAAAGGGGTAAGTTAATTGACATTATTGGTATATGATTTCAGTAAAACATAGACAGGTTCAACTTATCACAGATTTTAGGGGCCTTTCTTTTGCAAGTGATAAATCCACACAATATGTGTATCAACTAACTGTGAGCTACTTGCAAGAATAATTCACATAATGGCTAAACAAATCCGTAAATACGAAATCCAAAAACCCAGGTGGTTCATAAAGAAGCCATTTTATTGAAAATGTGAGATAAAAAAGAATTATAAAAAAAGGTGGTCAGTGGTCAGTTCATGTCCAGATAAGATATGTAAATTTTACTGATTGTTGTACCTTAGTGGAATTTTAAATAATTATAACCATTTAAAAAGAAGAGAATTGATATTATTGATTGATGACAAGAGAATGACTTTGACATGACAAAAATAAACAAATAGAAAATAATAAATATTTTAAGAGAATCTATCCTAACTATATTTCTGTAAAAATTTTTAATAGGGTAAATAGTTATATTTCAATAATATTTTGTTGAAAACATTTTACTCATCGTGATGTATTTAATTGGACTTATAAATTCTGTTATTTTTAGGATTACAACTTCAACTATTAATGTAAATACTTTCAATGCGAATCGAAGAATAATAGAATCAAATTCACTGGTAAGGTTTATATTCCTAAATAGTTATTGATAATATAATAATCGTTTATTATTTTTAGGTTTAGCAACGCGGATGGTTAGAAAACCAATATTAATATTGTGATCTTTTATTCACTGAATAAATATTTATTTTCCAAGACATCTGTCTCTTTTATTGGGAAACTATGGCCAAGGTAAAATATGCATGCAACAAAATATACACATAATTTAAAGAAAAATAAAAAATGAACAAAAATTCAATAACAGTAAAATTAATTTGTATTTTTCTTTTTCTTTAAATGTCCGTTTATTTAGCGACTTCTGAAAATTTCAGTTCAGTTTTATATTGATGTTAATACCAGGTAATATTTAAATTTTAGTATTAGTTCCTTCTACATAAGATTTTTTATGTTTTTTCTTTGGAAATTTCTCCTTATGTATAAACCCAAGATGGTCTAAATTTTCTATTTAGTATTATTTTTAACCGACTTCAAAAAAGGAGGAGGTTCTCAATTCGCCGCGATATTTTTTTTTATGTATGTTCAGCGATAATTCTTCAACACGGTGTCCGATTTTAATAATTATTTTTTTGTTAGTAAGGGGTGGTCCCACATAAATTTGATTAAGATGTGGTGACGACATCTGCACGTTTTTGAAGTCGGTTTTTTTTTTAATTTTTAATTTCTGATACTTGTTTTTTGTTGTTTTTGTATTATACACTAGTTTAATGCGAAACAACAGAAATAAACTGATTTTTCTTCCTCCTGTAAAATTTATATTTTTACACATAGGAGATATTTCACGATCAACGACGATATGCACATCCAATATTGGACATTATGGGATGCTAAATAAATTTAAAACTAAAGAAAAATACAAAATCAAAAGAGGTTTAGGTCAGTATTTATAAACCAATCTACACTGAGATAGACGTTCCTAAATCAAGTAATATTCAGAAGAAGACGAAACAATATTACGGATTTGTTACTAACCAACTTTAAATTCCAGTGTTTAGGAGATCTCCAGTGGCTTTATCTGGACATACGTTTTTGATCAAGGACGAGCTTGGCCATGACCGATTTATGAATGCGGACTTTCAAGATAATAGAAGCAGATAATTATCCGACATTTATAAGTGTATAAGCTTTAAAAAAGGTTGCATTTTTCTATTAAAGATAAAATTTTAACATTATTTGAGTTTGCCAGCTTCTAAGGTGACTAATCATCACAGTTTGAGATTCAGGAGTATATTTAGCAGGACATTTGTTGTATGACTTAATATAATTTGGAGAAACACTTTTAGAACAAGTACTTACAGATACATCGAAGACGAAATTAAAGATAAAATAAAAGCAGCGGGTACATTTTTTACCTTTTTAATAAAAAAACACCGATGAAGTGGTAACGTCAATATTACTGACTTAGATAAAATTGGCGGGAAATTAGGCAAAGGGTGAGTGACAAAAAGTATGTAGAAGAAAGAAAGTACTCGCTCACAGTCTTACAGTTAAAAATACTTTCATAGTTGGCAAGTAATTAAAAAAACCTTAATAAATATTAGTTTGTTTTTAATCGTCAAACGTGTGTAAATGTTGTAAAATGCAGATTACCACCTGTAAAAACAAGATAGCTATATCTACATAACTATTACAAATAATACAATTTAAAATTATAAGATGCATCTGGAATTTATTGTTACTGTGATATCACTATAACGAATATTTACAACAATAAAATATTATCAACAGTAATTGCAGGCACCTCCGCCAAAATTAAAACGAGTATATTGACTCTCGGTGACTAAATTCCTCAATCTATGTTCACCTCAGACCGTTACCCATATCAGAAGATCTAAAACTAACCGTAGGCAGATGCAAAATCCAACTACTTAAATCACAACAACAAACTCCCGACCTAACCTTTAAATCGAGTCATTCATTCAGTGCCCGGCACTTTTCACTCGGCCCGGAGCTTTTTTCGCCCGAAACACACTAGATCCTCGCACTAACACTTCGGTCATATGTTTGACAGTCATGGCACCCTAATTTAATTCAGCATATGCACATTCCGGACGGTTGACTAGCGATTTTGCCTACGTAGTAAAAGGTGAAACATGTTTTCCTTTGCGCGGATCGAAGTAGACTGGGCACCTGAAAGTTGGATCGCGCATGTGCGGCTCTGTTACGTAACGAGTTCACCGTAAGATATCTCTCAGTCTCAGATGTGTCAAAGATATTCTACGATTCTACGAGTAAGCTCATCCTGTTGTGGATTCTCTCTGGCCTGTTACGTGGATTTCTGTTAGGCTGGGAAAATTTGGTCGCAATGAGTATATCTCTTAAGACCCAGCTCAATTGTGTTTGTGCGATATAATCACGATTTTTTTAGGTTAGGAAACTTGTATTATCGATTTTTCATTCGAAGTAATCCAAGACGTCACTTTAAACTTCTATCTCTTTAGTCAACAAATATGTAACACGAATAACACGATGAATCTAATAAAACTTGTCACTAATGAATATGTGGCGACAACTGACGGCAACACTGTCGGCTATTGGAGCACATACAGGTCCGGTATAAGCCATATAAATGAAAAATAATTAAAATGTTAAATAAAATTAAATACCTTTATTTATAAGTAAACGACATTTTTAAATGTATACGTCTTCAATAAAAAATATTATAGGGTAATATTCAAGCATATAGGAGAGTACTGCACCAGAGATAATTTTACACTTTACTCGAGTTTTTTGTATTAAACCATCGATCATTGTAAAGAAACCAGCGGTAAAATAGATATTTGTGTACCAAGGCTGTCTTTTGGCCGAATTAGACATTTGCGGCCGAGGCTAAGCGACTTCTGGTTAAATATAAGAGTAATAGGCAAGAAACGGATGTTCAATCAAGATTGACATCGAGATAGACGTCAGATAAGCAGGTGTACTTACTGAAGATGAACTCTGCAAGACCCAGCATCAGATAGGTTTAACACTTGATATTTTGAAAACCATGCATATTACACCGAATAAGAACGAATGGAAGTGTCAGAAAGAGGCTGAAATCAAAAAATAAACGGAACAGAGCTGAATAGATAGATAAGTAATATTTTAGCCAGGATACAGTCGATGAATGTTATGAATATGGTAAATGTATGAATGTATTGTTAATGTATAATTTCAGTTTATTTTTATTTTTGATATAAAACTATGGCTGACATAATAAAACTCTTAATAGTACAATATTTTCAATATTTATTACTATAACTTATTTAATTTTCAGGTATTCTCCCTGACCTAGGAAAAAGGTTAGAAAACCCTGGTCCAATGACAAACTTGAGCAAATGTTTGCAACTGCTGGTCAATCCCTGAATCAATTAGAGAAAAAGAAAAAAGAATTTCTTCGACGATATCGTGACATTTTTGTACCAAAAGGAGGAAAACCAGGAAGAACTTCTGTCGTAAAACACAAAATTGACACTGGTGACGCCAGGCCGATTCGTCAATCAGTTCGAAGATTATCAAAGGCCAAGAGAGAGGAAGCTGAAAGAATTGGCCAGGAAATGACGGAAGACAGGGTGATAGAACGTTCTACCAGCCC